GGCGCCCCCATTTCCCAGGGGAGGAATTTGCCCCTCCCTTTTGTAACCTCTTTTCTAGGTGTTTTGGACCCTTGAGGATTGGGCTAGAATGTGGCTATTTTCCAGATGGCCATTTGGATCACACACTCTGGGTTTTTTCCTGTGCCCTTCATCTTAACCAGGAAAACCAGTGGAAAGCACAGCCCTCCTGTTGGCAAATGCAGTCATGTGGATGCTGCCTCCTCCCTGCTCATATCATTTCTCTCTCTTCCTCTCCCCTGCTCCTCATCTCCGGCCTGTTCCATGTGGCTGTGCCAATAGGTCCTGGATGACCCCAATGAAGACCATCTGTACATGGGTAAGAGAGCCCTTGCCATCCGCCACCTTTGCTCAGGCAGGTGCACCTGCCAAAGCCCAGGGGTCCTCTGGAGCATTCCCTGTCCTTGGCATCCCCCGCCAAAGCTGGGCACCACAGTGAGTCACATGTGAGGCTGCAGCCCTGGTTTGAAGCAGGAGGTGGAAGGGAGTTCTTGCTGGGACTTCTCTGGAGGTCCTGTTCATTCACTTGCAAGTATTTATTGAGCACCTGCCAATGCTGAGCATGTTCTAGGCACTAAGGATGCAGCGGTGAGTGAGAAAGATGAGGCTCCCGCTCTTCTGAGGCTGACATTTTAGTCAAGGAAGACAGATAGTCAACAACTAAATAAATCAGTTAAGTTCAGTAGATCCTCTGAAGAAGGTTAAATAGGATGACGTGAGAGAGAGGGATTGAGGGGCCACTTCACATATGAGGTGATGATTTGGCACCTGAGTGTCAAAGACACAGTCCTGTTACATGTGGGGAAGAGCATTCCAGGCAAAGGGAACAGCTGGTGCAAAGGCCCTGAGGCTGGTGAGAGCTTAGCGTGTTTGAGAAAAATGTGGCTGGGACAGAGTAAACCAGGGAGAGGGGATGGGGATGAGGATGGAGAGCCTGAGGCCACGGTGGGGCATTTGGAGCCTTGGAGGGCACTGCACAAAGAAATGGAAGGACTCAGGCATGTCCTCAGAGATTTGATTTTTAAAAACTGGTGAGGACATGGGACAGTGCTCTGTCAGCTCTAAGCATAGATACTGATGAAGGAAGGAAGGGCAGGACTAATTCAAAACTAGATAGCAGACTGTTGGGCCCAGGAATGCATGATTGACAGGTCACATGTCCTTGCAATATGGCTTGGGTGGGCATTCAAATGAGCAGATGACAGATGACAGCCGGGAGGGGTATCAAGGAGGTGAGGAGAGTGGGCACGAGCCCAGCCTGGAATCTAGAAGTCTCCTGGATGAGCACGGGGATGATCCTTTGTTGCACAAGGAGTGATTATATGGGGTCTGGTTTGAAAACAGCTCAGAGCTCACTTTCTCCTCACAGAGTTGCTATGGTTCAGTTCCGAGGAAGCGTTGCAGCTTAGGACATTTTATTTTTCATTTCCCCCTCCTCTTCCCCGCCCCAGGTTTTCATTATGACAAATGTTAAGCCTACAGAAAAGTTGAAAGAATAGTACAATGAATACCTGTATACCTACCACCCAGATTCAACAGTTAATAATTTTTTTGTCAGATTTGCTTTATCAGCCTAGCCACCCACCCATCCATTTCTGTATTTTTTTTGCTGAACTATCCAAAATGTAAAGTGGCAGACATCTTGACACTTCAGCCTCTGAATACTTCAGCGTGCATCTCACATAGAGACATTCTCCTGTGTGGTCACAATACCATTATTACATCTGAAAAAGTTAATGCCAGTTCCCTAAGAGCATCTAATGTGCACTCCATGTTCAAATTTTAGAACTCTTTTTTGCCAGTTTATTTGTAAATTTTAGAACTTATAAAATCTTCCTATAGAAACAATTTTGAGGCTACACAGTAAATAACATCAGATATGTTAACTTTATTTTATTTAATTTTATTTTTTTTAAAGATTTTATTTATTTATTTGACAGA